CCCCACGTTAGATCCCAATTGCGAGTCCCAGGTGTTTTGTCTGTGCTTCTAACCAATCTGCTGAAAACCGGGATTCCTGCAACCCCTTCCCTGCGTTGGACTGGTTTGCTACAACAGCTCTGGCCACTCCGGGAAACGCTGTGTCTGCTGGTTTACTATCAAGGCTATTACAAAGGATACAGATGAAGAGCTGCGTCAGGTAGGGCAGGTGGACAGGGCCTCTGAGCTTCCATGGCCTCTCTCAGCACTGGCCTACAGGAACCTGCAGGTGTCCAGCCATCTGGAAGTTCTCTGAGCCCTGTCCTTTTGGGGTTCTAGGGTGGCTTCACTGCTTAGGTACCACCAATTACATTACTGGCCATTGAAGATCAAGTCACCCTTCAGCCTCTGTTGCACAGAGGTTGGGGGTGGGGCTGAAAGTCTTAGCCCTCTAATTCAGTCTTGGCATTTCTAGTGACCAGTCTGCAATCTGAAACTACCCAGGGGTCTCCAGCTATAGTCATCTCATTAGCACACAAAAGACACCTCTCATGCTGAAGACTCCAAAGAATTCAGGAGTTGTGTGCCAGGAAACTGAATGAAAACACAAGCTGTATCTCATGACATCACGCCGACTCACGCCAGATATTCACAGCCATATTATCCATGTGTGCACTAGCAGCGTCCCTAGGGACAAACCCATGGCCTGAAAGCACTCAGCTGGAAACGCCCTGCTTTGTATTGGACCAGGATTCAGCCTGGATTTTGACAAATCTGGGGACACTCAGGGACCACATCAAAAAGCTGCCTTCATGACTGACCAAGAACAGGCACTGACCTGAACAGGGTCCTAACACAGAACAAGAGTCACTGACTACTGTTACTGGGACACAGCAGATCAGTGTTGAAGGATCTGAAGAGTAATTATTGGGGCCGGCGCTGTGGCATAGCGGGTAAAACCTCCACCTGCAGTGTTGCCATCCCATATGGGCTCCGGTTCAAGTCCCAGCTGCTCCACTTCTGACCCAGCTTGCTGCTATGGCCTGGGAAAGCAGCAGAAGATGGCCCAAGTGCTTGGGCCCCTGCACCTGTGTGGGAGACCCGGAAGAAGCTCCTAGCTCCTGGCTTCGGATCAGATCAGTTCAGCTCTGGCCATTGTGGCTGTTTGGAGAGTAAGTTAGCAGATGGAAGACTTCTCCCTCTCTTTCTCTCTCTCTCCCCCTCTGCCTCTCTCTAACTCTGCCTTTCAAATACAGAATGATTATTGGAGGTTTCTAGTTGCTTAAAGGCAATTTAGGTCAGTGGTCCAAAAGCAAATTCTGAGACTTGGCCTGACTTGGAATTCTGACTCCCGGATTCGAGCTGTGTGACCTTGGATCCTTGCTGCATCTCTCTGGACCTCTGTTTATTCTTTCCTAAAGTAGGATCAACAATAGTGCAGCTGCACATCTCAGCTTTGTGAAAGGAGGCCCAAGGGCATGGAGGGAGTCCCTTAAAATAAAGAGGGTGTAGGGTCCTCAGGTCTACCCAGAGACGGAAATCACCTACCTGGGAAAACTTTCTAGACCTTAGAACACCCCCTGCCTGAGGACCTACTGCAGTTCCCAAGCATACTTCTGGGTTGTAGCCCATATTGTAATGGACAGCCTCTGCTTGTCCTGCCTGCTGCTCTCCTGGAAGCACACGGCACCCGTCACCATAGCTAAGAGGGAGCGGCTGCTACAGGTGCAGCCTTCATATTAGAGGCCTTGTCGCAGCCGTCCTCGGCACCTACCCGACTTGCTTCCCTGGGTCCTCTCTGCAGTAGTCAACAAATCGAGCGGCTCTGCCCTCTGTCCTGTGATGAATTGTTTTCACTGCCTGGGAGGCCAGCCTCGATTGCTCACGTCCCACATCAGGCTTTTCAACACTATCATGAAACACCTAAGACAAGCTACTTAGGATGGAAAGAGGGGCTTATCTTAGCTCAGTGTTCTGGAGATTCCAACATCAGGGGGTCTGAACGGTTCTGCCTCTGACGATGGCATCCTTGCTGGTGGAGTCCCAGCGTAACACAAGGGACCACATGGTGAGAGACTGGGGGCCCATGGGTCTGTCTCCATCTCTCCTTAGAAAGCCACCAGGGGAGTAGGCGCTGTGGCGTAGCGGGTAAAGCAGCTGCCTGCAGTGCTAGCATCCCATATGGGTGCCGGTTCAAGTCCCAGCTGCTCCACTTCTGACCCAATTCTCTGGCTTGGAAAAGCAGTAGCCCCTGCACCCATGTGGGAGACCCAGAAGTTCATGGTTCTTGGCTTCAGATCAGTGCAGCTCCAGCCATTGCAGCCATCTGGGGAGTGAACCAGCGGATGGAAGACCTCTCTCTCTCTCTCTCTCTCTCCCTCTCTCCATCTGTAACTCTGCCTCTCAAATAAGTAAATAAATCTTTAAAAAAAAAAAAAAAGCCAGACGACTCAGTCAGGACGATTCTGCCCTCGTGACCTACTCCAATCCAATCATTTTCTACCCTCAGCTCTAACTTGTCAACCTCATAGTACTGTGGCTTCAAAACGCCTGAGTTGAGGGGGACAAATATTCAAACAAAACAACAGTCATTTCTCCATATCCTCAGGGGATTTGTTCCAGGAATTCTTGCAGATACTAAAATTCACAGATGCTTAATCTTGCATGTGAAATTGTATAATATTTGCATATAAGCATCCTCCCAAAAGTTTGTAGAAAATGAAATTAAAAGATAAGTTTATTTTGGTACAAGAAACTTCAAAATTCAAGCATGTGTGAGATCTTCAAAAAGTTCACGGAAAATGTGTCGTATGAAAAAACTATGTAAGGTTTCAATTTTTTTGCCCAAAAATAAAATTACATATTTTTTTTACAAAAAAGATTTCTTTCATGTATTTAAAAGGCAGAATGATAGAGACAGAGGGAGGAAGAGATTGAGAGTGAGAGAAAGAGGTCTTCCATCTGCTGGTTCGCTCTGCAGATGGCCGCAATGGCCAGGCCTGGGTCAGGCTGAAGCCAAGTACCCAGAACTCCAGCCAGGTCTCTCCCACATGGTGGCAGGAACCCAGGTACTTGGACCACTTTCTGCTGCTCTCTCAGGTTTGTCAGCAGGAAGCTGGACGAGAAGTAGAGCAAAGAGGATTCAAATTGATGCTATACTACACTATTTAACACCCTGTGGCACGTCGCCGGCCCCTACATTTGTCTCCTTGGTCCAGTTTTTCACAGGCATTTTGAAGTACCTTGTACAACCTATGCACATCCTCCCGTATACTTTAAGTCTTTTCCAGATTACTTATGGTAGCTAACACAACGTTAATGCTATGTAAATAGTTGTTCTACTATATTCTTTGGGGAATAAGATTGAGAAAAAGTGTTTATATGTTCAGTATAATCGCAATTTTTTCCTAAATGTTTTTGACCTACGATTGGTTGAATCCATGGATGCAAAAACTGCAGGTGCAGAGAGCCAGCAGCTCCTGTCTTCTTCGGTAATTGGATTAAGTGGAATTGTGAAAACAAAAGGAAGCACCACAATGCAAGCAACAGGGAAAGAGTTTTTCAAAACGTACAAGAGGGAGGCCATGAAGGGAGCAAGCCCCATGCACTTGTAAAATGGCTCCCAGGAACATGAACTTCGGTCATCTCCCCCCTAGATTGCAAGGACCAGAGCAACCAGAATGAGCCGTAACTGCTTTGTGTCCAGGGGCTCCAGATGTGTGTCAAAGGCTATCGCTTCTTATTTTATGGGCATTTTTACTAAGGATCTACATTGTTTCTTTATCTCTGTGAGTCACACGGGCCCTGTCCTTTCTCAGAGAAGATTCCCGCCAAAGAATTTTTACAGCTTTGTACTAAATCTACACTGCTTGCCCATATAATCCTCCCCTTTCCCTGCATTCTTGGGAATGCAGACCTGTGTCTCCCCAGTGGCGGTTCTTAAGACCCCACATAAAGCTTGTTTGCCGTTCCAGCTTCTGAGTTTGAATTGATAAGCAGCGTTAGGAGCAGGCAGCATTTGGAGAGAGCCCAGGGCACAGGGAGCGATCTGTAAACACTTCCTCAAATTGCCACTCTGATGGTGCCTCCACCGTTATTGAATAGTCTCTGGGGAGTTTATTCCTCGCCCCTCAAATTGCGCTCCCTTCTTCTGTTTTGACGGGTGCAAAGCAAAGTGCTTCCGCCCTGTTGCAGGCATGGATAAACCATAAGCAATGGGTTAGCACAAATACCAGCCGGGATGGGAGGCGTTCACACGGACAGTTCTCTCCTCTGATCTAAAATGGTTCTGCCTGCCTCCCCCCACAACGCTGCCACTGTGTGATTTGCCCAGGACAGGGTCTCACCCCTGTGCAGGGATTCGGCAGGTACCTTCTTCCTCCAACCCCGAGGCTGCATTTCCTGCAGGTCTATGTCGAGCTCTGCCGCTTCCTCCACTGCCCTGGTCACGGCAGAAGCGTGTGGGTCCGACAAGTTGCAGAAGCAGCATTTTAAGCAGAGCTGAGCGAGTGCATGGAAGGGACCATGGTGTTCTAGCTAGCTGTGGGGGTTCTCCCCGCCCCCTCCAGTCTGGTCTGGAGAAAAGTGCTAACATTTTTCAAGCTATGTAGAAGCTGATTGGAACACTCATGTGTCAGTTTAAGTCCATTTCATTCTAGACACTTTATTATAACAACTTATGGCTTCTTTAAAGGAAACTTTTGCTGGGGATCTAAAGACATCATCGTATACCCATTGAAAAGATCTGCACCACGCGCCACCACGCGCACGCACTCTTAGGGTGCACCGTTGGGTACAAGCGACAGAAAGAGCAGAGAGATCCAAGCCCACCGATGCCCAGACTCCCTGCACACTGCCAGTCCTGACTTTCTCTCCGCCAAACTGCAAACTAATAACCAACCAGACTGAAACTTTAAGTCCTCCCATTCCCTCCCTAACTGGTTTGGAAGAGGTTACAAGCAAGTGGTGGTTAACCCCGGAAGGAAAAGTAGAAAAAATATGCAAAGAGGCCCCTCCCCTACCTTGTATAGGAAGGCCTGGGTGGGCGTGGCAGAGGGGCTGGGTCAACAGCCCTGGGGCAGTGCGTCTCAGGGAATCTTCAGGATCCTTCTGTCTTGACTTTACCTGCAATGCTCAGAGGGTGGAGATCACTAACCATGTGACTATCCTGTGGCTAGAAACAGTGCCAAGTAGGGCAAGTAAACAGGGGCCGGTCGGCAGCCACACACACACCCGGGACTGCTGCCCGGGACACAGACGGCTGTTCCCTAGAGCCAGGAAGGTGGAAGGAACTCTCTCCCAAACGCCCTCTCCTCCTGCATAGCCTCTCAGCTGCTCTCTCTTGGGAAGTGGAAATGAAAGCCCTTTGAAAAGGCAAGGATTTGCTTAGAAAACATTCATTTAAAACGCCTTGCAATTATTGACACTATCATCAGATCTCGGCAGTAGTAGAGTGGTATTGCCTGTGTGTGTGTTTGCCGGGAAGACTCTCCTTGTTTGGGAGGGAAAATAAAATAAAAGCCCAAGGATATTGTGCAAACTTGGCCTTGGCCACATGAAGTCAATTGCCCCAGGAGTAAGGAAGCCTTTGCTGTGTTGTTATCCACTTTAGTGGCCTAAATCTGTGTGTTTGTTCTCTCTCTCTCTCTCTCTCTCTCTCTCACACACACACACACACACACACACAGTTGAGCTCAGCTGGGCAGCCATCCAAATGATTCATATTAAATTCTAGCTATATTCAGCACAAAAGTCATCTCGCATCAGCGGATCAAAGTTACATCAACTCACAAGCGCTGGGGAATTGATAAGGAGCTAAAATTAGGTCATTGCATAGCAGTGGCTTTTGATGGATGAAGTGAAATTTAGCCGCGGGTTTGCTATTTAAAGATCGGTTACAGCACCCTTTCCTGCAGCCACAGTGAGCACACAACGCAGGATCGCAGGGCTGATTAAACGTGCCATCATCGCTGTGTGCCCAGCTGACGGTCCTCAGAGCCGGCGCGGCTCTCGGGCCAGGCCAGTGAGTGCATTTCATTTCCCACATCCAGCGCCTGGCAGAGCCTTTCCCGAGTTATTTTAATCACTTTTAAAAGCATTCCGTCACACGGTTCAGCCTCCAAGTCCTGACCCCACTCTGGGTTTCAGCATTCTTCAGCGACTTTGAACAGACGCAGCATCCCTCAACTCGGCCTAGTGGCCTCATTTCTCCCCCCAGTCCCGTCAAGTTCAGAGTCACACCCGCCTCTCCCTTCTTTGGGTTTGTTTTTGCTCCGGGAAAGTTGTCAGTTCCAGAACCAGACTGAAGGCAGTTGCGTCAGACCCTAACAAACCGGAGCCCCGTGGCCACAGAAATGATTACAAGCCCTCTAACCTGGCACCAGGGCCACCGCACCCCAGCGTGAAGAACGCGCCTGTGAGAACAGCTCCCCAGCGCCTGCCGGCTCGGCCCTGGACTGATGCCACTCTTGTTATTGATCCCCGGAGCCAGGGGTAATTGTTTTAAAACAACTTGCGTAACCTTCCTGGTTTTACCTTTGAAAGCCCTAGGCTCTCTCTGCCTCTGATCTGTCATGGCACGCATATTTGGGGTTGCGATGTTCCGCACGTCCGCGAACAAAATCATTGCATTTTCAAGAGCCCCTCTCTCTCCTTTTCTGTGGTTACTTAGGCCGGCAGCTTCCAGAAGAGTTAAGTTGGGGATTTGTTAAGAACAGGGAACCAGGAAGGAAGAGACCAAGTCCAAAGCAAAACACATAGCACTAAACACAGCCTTGCGAGCCGAGGATGTCCCAGTGGAACAAGAGGAAGCCAGGTAGCCAAGGGTTGAGGTTGGGAAAGGCCAGGGGACAAGGCCATCTCGGGAGAGGAGATGGCTCCAGCCAAGCAGGGCCCCTCGCTCCAGGAGGACTTGTCCAGGCTCCAAGCAGAGCCAGGGCATGCACTGCAACACTCAGGAGGGGGACTTCGGGGTATCTGCTTTTCACAGCCCAAGGCAGCCTGAATCCATCAGCACCCCCAGGGAGTGGGCCGACCCCAGAGCGGCCCCAGATGACCACCCCTGGGAATCCCGGGCTACAGGACAGTCCTGGGGCACCAGTGGCCTGAGAGCCATCAGAACCTAGCATCAAGAAAGACAATCCGTTCCCACCTGCTCCCAGGAGAGGCACAGAGGGTGCCCACACAGCACCCTCAGGTCCCAGCTGAGCAGAGAACAGATGTGCAGATGACAGGGTCCCAGCCTGACAGACACACAACATAGGCAGGAATGGCTTTTCATATGCAAATCCCACTCCCCCTGCTTCCTATTGCCTGGAACAGTTGTGTGGGACTGGGGCTGTGTGGAGAAGATAAAGTCTAATCAGGGAGCTCACATTGTGTGGGGCAGGTGCTCCACAGTCCCCTCCCTTTGTGTTCCTAGCTTCCTGTGACGTGGCGAGGCTGGCTGGAGCAGAGCCCAGATTGGGGAGGGGGGGAAGGCTGGGCTCCGTGCTCGGTGCTGTACAGTTAGTTGTCCCCGTGGATGTCTGGATCCCAGTGTGGAACTAGGAGGAGGTAGCCGCTGGTGGAAGCATGCCGGGTACGGCTGGGGCATTCATCCTTGAGCATTCCCATGTGCTGAAGAGTCAGGCAAAGCAGGCTGTGATGGCCAGACAGAGCTGCGGGTGCTGGGGTTTGGCAGCTGACAGTCACGCACCGGCCTGGGAAGGGTGGGACATGAGGCAGGGCACGGGCACAGCACTTGCTCCAACATCCTAGGCTCTGAGTGCAAGACGCGCTGGGAGTCAGCGCCGTGGTGCAGCAGGTTAAGCCACGGCCTGTGATGCCGACATCCCATGTGGACACCAGCTCAAGTCCGGCTGCTCCGCTTCCCATCCAGCTCCCTGCTAACATGCTTGGGAAAAGGAGTAGGAGATGGCCCAGGAGCTTGTGCCCCTGCCTCTGTGTGGGAGACCTAGATGAAGCTCCTGACTCCTGGCTTCAGTGTGGCCCAGCCCTGGCTGTTGCCACCATTTGGGGACTGAACCAGTGAGTGGAAGATATTCTCTCTCTCTCTCTCTCTCTCTCTCTCTCTCTCTCTCTCTCTTTCTCCATCTCTATAACTCTGCCTTTCAAATAAGTAAATAAATCTTTAAAAATATATATGAACCCTACCTCACGAGGGATGGCAGCAAAAACCCTGATTAGAGTCAGGAGTTGTGTTCAAGGCTAATTTCAAGGTCATTTCTATTCATAGTCTAAATTCTAGCCATTTGCATTCTACATGCAGCAGGCACTCCGATCGCCTTAGTGGGACGTGCCCTGGCCTGTGTGGGCCATCCCTGAGCAGTAAGTCCCTGCCCCGCACCCTGCGCCAGCGCAGTGCTGTGCCATTATTCACCAACATCACCGAGATCAAATCAGCATCGTCCTGTAAGTCACATCAGTGGCCAGTTGTATTTTCCAAGAAAATGATGATGGTAGAAGCCATCCCATCGCCTTTCTTACAGCAAGTGGTGAGATCTAGATTGCCTCCTGGTATGGGCTAAATCGGGCCCCCTGAAGTTGCTATGTTGAAGTCCTAACCCCCTAATACCTTGCACTGTGACTGCCTTTGAAGACAGAGTCCTTAAAGAGCCAAGATTAAGTGAGGCCCTTGGGGCGGGCTGTAGTCCCACAGGACTGGCGTCCTTATGAGCCAGATTGCCCTTGCCCTGTGAATCGCTATGGCAGCAGGGACTCTGGACACACATCCTGCAAACTGGAAGTCCTGTAAGGTGCTTGTTGCAGCCCTGTAGGGCTCAGGTTCACACGCTCTCTGCATCACCCCACTTCTACTTTGGCCAGGCCAACTGCGCCCCTGAATTTCTCTGCAAGCCTCGTGCCAGCAGAGTGTCAGCATTGGAGTGTGACTGTGGATGCTGTGTGTCCGCAAGCATTGCCATCTCCTATACGTGAGTACCAGGGTGCTGCGGGCATGAGCTCCCACAGAGGCAGTCCAGGGGTGCAGCACAACCAACAAGCCACTGAAAATGCAAAGGAGGAGTCGAGGCCAACTCTGGGGTTGCTGGATGCACACGTGCAGACCAGAGCTTTTCTGGTAAATGAACACGTGACATCAGCTGCCATCACAGCTGTCTGCACCCCGCTGTGGCTTTAGAAACAGATCTTGGGAACTTCTATCACCCCAGGCTTCGACCAACGACTTCAGTGAACCCAGTTCTTTTTTTTTAAGATTTATTTTTTATTTATTTGAAAGAGTTACAGAGAGAGGTAGAGACAGAGAGAGAGATTTTCCATCCGCTGGTTCACTCTCCGAATGGCCACAATGGCCGGAGCTGTACTGATCCGAAGCCAGGAACCAGGAACCAGGAGCTTCTTCCAGGTCTCCCAAGCAGGCATGGGGCCCAAGGACTTGGGCCATCTTCCACTGCTTTCCCAGGTCATAGCAGAGAGCTGGATCGGAAGAGGAGCAGCCGGTACTAGAACCGGCACCCAGGTGTGATGCCGGCACTGCAGGCTAGGGCTTTAACCCGCTGCGCCACAGCGCCGGCCCCCCCAGTTCTATACTGCACATCACAGCAGCAAGTCCACACTTACAGTAGTTTATCTCTGTGTGAAAAATATTCAGGGGACCCACAGACAACGCATGGTGCCAAGGTGGATTCAGGACCCCGCTCTTTCATCTGCAGCCTCCAACGGGCTGGGCAGATATGACCTTCCCCACATGGTAAAGCTACCGTGAAAAGCCACACAAGGGCTCAAATTACAAATGCCCCTCAACCTACAAAGGGGCCAGTCCCCAGAACTCATTGCAAGTTGAAAATATCATAATGGGGCCAGCGCCGCGGCTAACTAGGCTAATCCTCTGCCTGCGGCGCCGGCACACCGGGTTCTAGACCCGGTTGGGACACTGGTTCTGTCCCAGTTGCTCCTCTTCCAGGCCAGCTCTCTGCTGTGGCCTGGGAAGGCAGTGGAGGATGGCCCAAGTGCTTGGGCCCTGCACCTGCATAGGAGACCAGGAGGAAGCACCTGGCTCCTGGCTTCAGTTTGGCGCAGCGCCAGCTGTGGCAGCCATTTGGGGGGTGAACCAATGGAAGGAAGACCTTTCTCTCTGTCTCTCTTCTCTCACTGTCTAACTCTGCC